CTGCATCCACCCGGTATTCCACATATCACTGTTTAAGTAAAAACTAAGTGATTCAACCTTCCCCACAAAAGAGTTACCAGCCATAACAAACGAGGACAACATCATTCTCCAACCAGAAGAGATCTTGGATACACGTTGGGTAAAAAAAGGAGCCAAGTTAGTGGAAGAAAGCCTGGTTTAATGGAAAGGATTACCAGCTGAAGACGCTACTTGGGAATCCACATAAGAGTTGCTGCAACAATTCAACTCGTTGAACCTTGAGGACAAGGTTCTTAAAAAAGGGGGGAGTGATGATAAGCTCCGAAGGTCAGCAAGAGTGCTACGTAATAACCCAAAATTTATGGATTATGTGGGACTAGAAGCAAGTGGAAGAAAAAGTCAAAACATAAGCAGTCAACAGAGAAGAATTTGCTCTTAGGATTTCTAGTCATGAATCTGTTTTTAAGTTAGGATTTCTAGTCGTTGTAAGTTGTTTTGTATTATCTGATTTTTTTTTTAGATTTGATTCCATCATGTTATCGTAAAAGTAGGAAATTTTGTTAATTCTTTTTGTATTTAAGAACGTTGAGATGAATAAAAAAATAGATTGAATTTCCAACAAACAAAGCCCCATCAGTTTGTTTCTCACTGCAAGCAGAATCAATCCAATTTCCTTCACTCACATTCTCCACTCTGATCGTGACCTATCATTAGCCTCATACTACTATTCAAATGTTACAAAATATACAGACCATGTTAGTATTATTTATCTTACTACAGTTATATAATATATAAAATCAAAATATATCAAAAGGCTCGTAATTATACTAATAGAATTCTACCTGCTATAATTATAATAAAAATTGTGTTTAAATTCATCTCATCCCTTAAAAATTTCTGTTTTAATTTGCTAAGTAATAACTTAATCCTTCAAAAAAAAACACTCATTGTAGAAATATCATAGGTATTTCAGTTCGTCGTTTTTTATTACGAAAAAAAGTAAATATTCTACTAGCTCATGACTTATAACACAAATTTAGTTTCTTAAAATATATGAAAGAATGACTAAAATAAAAAAAAAAGATATCTTATTTTTCTTTTTCATATTTTTTATGAAAAAAAGTTAGTAGACTAAAATAATAAAAAATTATTTGGTTTTTGATAGTTATTGTTTTAATTGGTAGATAGGAGCATTCTTTGGACACTCTGCAAGGAGGGGGACGCCAAAGACATGACTAATGACTGGAGTAAAGTTGTAACAAGGTAATCTTACGGAAAGGTGTGGTTAGATTACCTCTTTTTTAAAAAGAGCTAATGCTTGTTAGATATTTTGGGCTGACATTGCGCCCATGTTCTTATTATCTTAGATAGAAATAAGTTAATAGGATCATTTTTTTATCCCTCTTCATCCCATGTCGACGCACATGAGGGTACGGGGGCATAAAATGAAAGAGATGGGGGCATAAAAGGGATGGAGTTTCTCTCACTTTTGGCTTGGTATAAGGGGCTCCTAGTAGGAGCTATTTAGGAACAAACGGAACATTTCTTTCCTAAAGAATAGTTTTAAACGAATAAATAAATAAAAAAGTAATTATTTTTTAATTTAATTTAAATTAATTTCAGTTTTTTATTTGAATTTAATACTTAATATAATAATTAATAATTATTCATAATATAAGTTTGTAATTATATACTAAATATAACATAAGTAAGCATCTCTTATTCAAATCATTCAAAATTTGTGTCTTGACATAGAAATATATAAAATATATGCTATAAACTTATTTACAGCCAGTGTAGTGTTAAGAAATATAAAATATAAAATGGTAGTTACAGTGGAAGCCAAATATTAACAGAAGTAATTAAGTAGATTATAAAAATGAAGTAATAAAGTTGACTGGTGAGGAAACTAATTCTAAACATGATCAAGACGTACGGATAAGATGTGAGTTCGAGGCAAATCCTAATCGAAGAGATCCTTTTCAATTGAGAGTACAGTTTTGGATCTTGCTCACCACAAAACCGCGTTTGGTTCATTTTCACGTACCTCATGGTGACACCCTACATATATACCGCTACTGAAATAATTAATTAATGTGGGTCTGTACTATATATATTATATTTTTATGCACTACTATTAATTAATTATAATTAAATTAATATTTATTTTGGATTAAAGCTCCAGAGGTCAGATATCACCATATATATATATATTATATGAATATTTGATTCTCCAACTAACATGAATTTAATGGGACTTACGTGCGTCTCTTGTGATTCTTATATGTATAAAAAATTTGTACTACTCTTAACAACAACCACTTTCCGGGGAGGGCGACTGTGTATGAGCTGTTCCTCACTTGATAAAACGCGGGAAGGCGGCGTACAAAACGACAATGAGGGTGCTACTCACTTGTCATTTCTACGATAAACCACACCAACTAACAATCCCTCACTGCTTTTCTCTCTCTCTTTTTTTTTTTTTAAGAAAAAAAAAAAATTATGTTGTAATTCAGTTTATTCATTCATTCTTTTTTTTTTTTTTCCAAATTTACTAGTTATTTATTTAAATATATTAGTTTTAGTTTGATAAAAAAATTTAAAGAAATTTATTTATACGTCATTTAAATATATTATGTTATATTTAAATATAAGTGAGTGACACTTATGAATTAAAATTGGATAGAGACTTTGAGTAAGTAGCTATAGAAACCTCAATGGAATAATTAATTAGTATGTTTATAATGTTTATGTACATGTATGTGTGTCTGTTTATATGTACGCAAAAAGTTTATACGTTGTGGGAAAATTAAAAAGTTGCCTTAAAAAGGTATCTTTGAAAAAGTCAACATAAGGCGAAGTCCAAACTCCAAAAATTGTATATAATAATTGTGTTATCTTTATAGCAGCAATTGGTAATCTTTTGAAAGATCCACTTTGGTATTAAGTCACTTCATCAGTTGCCAACAAACCTTTTCTTCTCCTCTTCTTAATTAATCCTCCTGATGGTACATCTTCCAAAAATCACACAGTAGTTTAATAAATATACAGCAACGACGTAAATTCATCATCAATTTTTAATTCGTATCAGATTTTGTAACTTTCATCTTAGTATATGTGCTGAAAAAAAAATTATAATTCATAATATAATATCCTACCTAACTGAATATACAAAATTAAAAAATTTTGTTGCATTTTTTAATTTTGTAATTAAATAGATAGAGCAAGTCCAAATTAATGTAGCATGAATATCGCAGTCCAGATGCTCTATGAAAACTACAAATAATATAATTGAAAATTACAAATTAAAATTTATTTAAATAATACTAATTTATCTTTGTTTATTATGTATACGGAGAACTCGAATGAGTACGAAGAAAAAAAAAAAAGATTAAAATTTTATTTCAAGATTTATAAGACATATTATCCTAAAGTTTTTTTTTTTTTTTTTAAATTTATTAGATAAAAAGATAAAAACTACTACCTTATTTGTTATCTAGAATATTATTTTTTATTTGACTTGTATATTATTAAAAGACTTATGTAGGGAATATATATAAAAATAAATAAACTTAAATAATGAGAGAAAATTGTTAATTAATTAAACGGATTAATTACTAAGTTGTGTAAATTAGTAGCTATGGCTATAATTAGATTAATTGATTTAGTTAATTTTATATTAGAAAGTATCTTTACAAGTATTATGTCACGGGGATATATAGTGATGTAAAGCTTGTTACCCCCATTTCTGAGAGAATAGGAGTGCATGCTGTCACCCAGCTTTCACGATAATCACATTTCTGCTACTATAAATGGATAGCTTTGTTTATTATAATTAAGGTTAATTATTACTAATTAATTAGATTATAATCCTCAAACTTTGATGACATTAGCATGTCGGTCATGTGTTTTCGTCAATTTTTTAAACGCACATATATATATATATATATATATCTATACACTCATGCAATATTTATAATTTAGCTGACTAATACAGAGTCTATATTAGTTATTGATTATTACTTAATAGTTAAAGTAATTCATAAGCACGTACACAAATTTTTGTGAAGAAATATAGAAAACTAGGACTTAGTATGTAGTAATTGAGGTAATACTATTGTAATGTATAATATGTATGTATTTGGCAGTACGTGTAGGCCTCAGTTTAACTATACAAGTGAGAAAATGACAGACACAAGTAAAACTAAAATGACCCCCCCCCCCCATCCAACTTATTGGGGCTTAGGTTCCTCTTCAATCTGGGATTCTGACATTTAAATCTCTCAAATTCATATAAAAAGTAATTTAAGTACACTTATAATCTTGTGAGTTACATAAAATTAACCTAAATTCTCCAACATTTATCAGTTTTATTAGACTCATTATTTTGCAGATTATATAGAAATTAACCCAAATTTTCGAACACTTATCCATCTTCATTTAAATTGATGTGGTATTATTTGATCTGTTTTATTTAGTGGTTAGTAGTGTTTTTAAATTATTTCGTTAATGTTGTTTTTCACTGTAGAAAAAGAAAACCTCATTAATATTTACAATAATATATTCCAAATTATATGAGAAGAAGCTCACGTACACACACACACACACACACACAACAGGAAAACGCAAAGGAAATTAAAGTATGAACAGAAAAGAGAATGATTAAAAAAAATTGAAATTAATTTATAAAAATGAATATTAGAGTAGTCTCTGCTTGTCAAAAGAATGCGCACCGTCAATTCGTAAGTAACTCATCTTGTCGGAGAAATGTCTCTGTTACTCTTTTCTCTTTCCACGCACTCTATATATATATATACCTCCATCTTGCTTCCCTCCATATCCAAAATCTCTCCAACACAAAACCTCTTCCTCTCTCTCTCTCTCTCTCTCTCTCTCTCCCTCTCTCTCTTTTTCTCTCTCAGTACTGATCGTTATCATAATCACATTTTTATATATACATATATACGCAAACAGACTAACTGCACTTCAAGGTGATCATCCTTTCCATCAGCTAGTTGAAAATGTTGTCCAAGAAGGTAACCTTCGACTCCCATGGACAGGACTCATCCTACTTCTTGGGATGGCAAGAGTACGAGAAGAACCCTTATCACCCTACTCAAAATCCTACTGGGATTATCCAGATGGGTCTTGCTGAGAATCAGGTTAGTACTCCACCTTCCATATACATACATACTTACGTATATGTTTTATATGTAATGCATGGAGAAACACGCGAGGAACATACAAGAAATGGGCTATGATTTTTGTTTAAGATCATTACCAACTTTCTATTCAAATTTCTTTCTCAGTTAATTAATTTGGGCTGTATAATTAACAAAGTATGTATATATATTCTATATGTATTTGCAGCTTTGCTTTGACCTCCTGGAATCATGGCTATCGACCAACCCTGACGTGCTGGGCTTGCAGAATAGAGGAGAATCAGTGTTCAGAGAATTAGCTCTCTTTCAAGATTACCATGGCTTGCCTGCTTTTAAGAATGTAAGTAATTTAATAATTTAATTAATTAAGCCTACTTTTATTCTAATTAAACTTGTAATAAAGTAATTAGTGATATAATACTATGCAGGTGCTTGTTGATTTCATGTCAAAAATAAGGGGAAATAAAGTAACATTCGATCCAAACAAGCTGGTTCTCACTGCTGGTTCAACTTCAGCTAATGAGACTCTTATGTTTTGCCTCGCTGATCCTGGCGACGCTTTTCTTCTTCCTGCTCCATATTACCCAGGGTAATTACTCAATTACTAAGTAGTTACTAATTAATTAATAATTAATTAATTAAGTGTATTGATTAAACTTTTTAAAAAAATTTTCAGATTTGACAGAGACCTTAAATGGAGAACCGGAGTTGAAATTGTACCAATTCATTGCTCGAGCTATAATGGCTTTAGAATAACCATGTCTGCATTAGACGAAGCGTATAACCGAGCTCAGAAGATGAACCTCAAGGTCAAAGGAGTACTCATCACCAACCCCTCAAACCCACTAGGCACCACCGTGACCCGCGATGAACTCAATCTCCTACTCACTTTCGCCATTGACAAAAAGGTTCATATAATAAGTGACGAGATCTACTCAGGAACTGTGTTTGGCTCGCCCGAGTTCACAAGTATTGTGGAAGCCGCCATGGATAAGAACCTTCAAGAAACTGATGCATGGAACAGGATTCACGTCGTTTACAGCCTGTCAAAAGACTTAGGCTTGCCGGGATTCCGAGTCGGCATGATTTACTCCAACGATGGAACAGTGGTTTCCGCTGCCACGAAGATGTCAAGCTTCGGACTCGTTTCTTCACAAACTCAGTACTTACTGGCAAACATGCTCGCAGACGAGAAGTTCGCCGGAAAATATATAGAAGAAAATCAGAGAAGGTTGAAGAAGAGAAGGGAGATGCTTGTTTCCGGGCTGAAAAGAGCGGGAATCGAGTGTTTGGACAGCAATGCAGGACTATTTTGCTGGGTAGACATGAGACATCTCCTTCATTCCAACACTTTCGAAGCCGAGCTCGAGCTATGGCGGAAGATTGTATGTGAAGTCAGACTGAATATCTCGCCTGGTTCGTCTTGCCATTGTACGGAACCAGGTTGGTTCAGAGTCTGCTTCGCTAACATGTCCCAAGAAACTCTTCACGTAGCCATGCAGCGGATTTACAAAGCTTTTGCAGAGTCCGCCATTGTTGGGTCTAAAGCAACCTCTGGAAGATGCTCGACACAGCAGATTTACTGGAATTCGAGGAGGAGATCACTTATTACCAAATGGGTTAATAAGTTGTCGTCGTGTGATGGTCAAGCAGAACGTTAAGGTTTTTTTTTTGAGAAGAAGTCAGTTTAAGGGGGAAGTTAATTAATTAATTAATTATTAAAAATACACGTACGAATAAAGCGCATTAATTAATTAACTATTCGTTGACGACGTCGTTTCTTGTATGAGTTTTTTAATGGTTCCATCGTCAAGGATGGTTCCATTTTTTGCTTTTGTCCTGAAGCAAGCTTTTGTTTTCTCTAATTTATATATAGAGAAAAAAAGTTAAATTATATTAATCTGTATTTTTTGTTTTATTATACGGATAATGAGAGATTATGTGGATTAATTAGCCTTAAAATATTATTAATTAATTTTTTTTTTCTGTACTGTTCTTTGCAGACAATGATGTTATTTAATTAAATAAAAAAGGCTTTAAGAAGTTCTGGATTGGGCCTTCTTCAATTTAGTTCGGAGTTTTTAATTTACCTAATTACTTAATTATTCGAATAAGTAGTAATTAATCTGGACAATCATATTATTGTCCCAGCACTCATACATATGTATTTTAAATAAAATAATTCCACCTAAAAAATCCAAAAATTTCTTTTTGCTCTCAACTCTCCACGTAGTGCTAGACTTTGAAGACAAAAAAGTACACACGTGATTTTTTTAATTCTAATTATTTAAATTAAAACAGAAATCAAAGAAGAGAGAGAAACTTCCCATATGTATTTGAAAAAATCAAAACAATTTGAAAACTTAGAATACTATTTGGTATTAATTTTTGCTTTTATTTTTTTGAAAATTTATTTAGAGTTGAGTCACAAAATAAAAAGTTAAAAAACCAAATCCAACTCCCCACCCAGTCGGTAGGGATTTTGCGCACGAGGCCCAACGGAGATTCTTATGATCCGTGTACTTAATTTCATTCCAACCATCAGACAGGCCCACACAACCAAGCCCAACTGTCAATAACTAGGGCCGAGGTTCCACTTTACACGTGTCATAAATTCAATCATCGATGACCACCGACACGAGTGCATTAAGATACGATGTACCGCGATGCACGCAATCACAACCAAACCAACCGCCGTACATCCCAGCAGAACCAGACCAACCGCCACGACAGGATTAAAATTAACTGAAGACAAAAAGGAAGATTCGGTTTCTTTCTTCCAAGGATTTTTTTTTGAAAAATAATAATTTTTTACTTTCAAGGAATTTTAACAGTGACAAGGATAGCAATCGATTGGATAGCACCGTCCACGTTTGTAGTGTGGGGTGCCAGCTCGACACGTGGCGCGTCCTTCGCGCTACCCACAAAAAATCGTACATTCCACATGGCATTCTCCTTTTCGTATTCCTCCAACGATACAGCGAACAACGAAATTGCGTGTAATCGATTTTCGATTCTTCCGTTTCAGTCTATCTGTGTTATGTTTTAGGGTTTCTTTCTGTTATTTTTGTTGTTCTCGAAGATTTTGGCTTCAAATAAGATTCTGATTTGTTCCTGTGCAGTCGAAGCGAAGCTTCAATTGGCGTGTAAGTTTTAAACCCCATTTTTCGTGTGGGGTTTCACTGTTCTCAAGTTTCCCTGCTGTGGAGTCGCATTCGTGGCTTAACAGGTACTCTCTCTTTCATCTTCCTTTTTTGTTCTTCTCTTTGAGAACTTTATTTGTAATTTTTGTTTCTCTTAATGTTTTTCCTGCTTTAATTTGATTTGTTTCTTCCGGGGCGTCATTTTCTTTTTTATTATAATCGTTTTGTTTTACTTCCCAAGTTCTTGTGGTTTTTTTTTTCTTTTTAAATTCGCAATTGTCGATTAAGCTTTGTTATGTGAAATGCTTAACTGGAAGAGAAGGCGAAGTATAAATTCGTTTTAATCGAGTTGGTGAGGTTTTATACCCTGTATATTATTTTTTTGTAATTTTCAAAATTCCTTTTGAGTCTTGTGAAACTGGTTCCTCGCTGGTGATGGGATACAACCAAGAGCATAGAAATGTAATATTCATACGGGAGTTTAAGAAATGATTAGGATTTTTTTTTTTTACTGGGTTTTAAGCGTTCAGGGAGGACAGTAATTATCACTAATTTTCTAGTCATTGTGCTGGAGAAAGCAGTAGTGATTCTCTTTTTCCTCCTTAAAATTGATGCAAATAAGTCCAAGCAACTGATTAGACCCTTTGATGTTTTTAATTGCTTGGTTTCAATGTGAACTTGGTCTGTGAAAGTTGTCCTGCCTAATTTCTTTATATTGTTTAATACATTTGTATTTGACAATTGTGTTCAAATTCAGTAATTTACCTTTGTCAGCTTGGTAATTTTCACAGGCTCTGAACCTGCATCAATTAAAGCCAGCGTATCCCTGCAGCTTCTTTCATACATTCAGCAAATAAAAGTGATCATAATGTGTTTCTGCTCCAGTATTCTTCATTAACAAAATTGATAAATGTTGAAGATAAAGTGGAGTTAGATGGACATTTCCGCTCTCTTGACTTCTGCTGGAATCAATATAGCTGTATGTGTGGTGCTTTTATCATTCTATTCGATATTGAGGAAACAACCAAGCAATGTTAGTGTTTATTTTGGACGGAGACTCGTTTCTGGACGAGCAAAACGTAATGATCCTTACTGGTTGGAAAGATTTGTGCCCTCTCCCAGGTGGATACTGAAGGCCTGGGGAACAACTGAAGAAGAATTATTGGCTATTACTGGATTAGATGCTGTGGTTTTCCTCAGAATGGTCGTTTTCAGGTTACTGGGCCCCAAAAGTTTAGAATATAAAATTTCTAAATTCTATGCCTTTAATCTATTGAACTCTCATTCATCAATCTAAAGTAAATTTTTTTGAAAGCTTGGTCTCCTTTGTTTTAATAAATGTCTGATTTTGGTTATATTACATTGCAATAGCATATATTTGTTGCTGGAAATCATGGTTATCTGCATTTTGTCTTAGGCTTGATCAGATTGTTTATTTTTGTTTTTTTGAAATAAAAGTAAGATAGTATTATTAACAATGTGCCAAAGGGGTACACCCATATACAAGTAATTACAAATCGATCAAAAGATTAAAAACAGCTCCAAAATCCTCGAGCTCTCTAATGTCATGACTCAAAATCATAGAACCAAAAGAGTGGATCTATTTATCTCTAATATAGAAAGTAGAAAGTAGGATTAACTGTAACAATCTGTTCTTTTTACACACCCCATCCCAAGCCCACTCCTCCTCCTTCACACTCCCTGCCACAACCCAGTTCAACCCTAATAAACTGTAAACCATAGACCAAAGACCATAGGCAGCAGGACATCACAACAAGATATGATTACAAGTCTCCTCCTCTTTTTTGCACAAGAAACATCTATTAATCGGAATATTCCCCCTCCTAAGCATATCAACAGTCAAGATACAGTCCTTAGCAGTCTCCCACGCAAAAAAAGCCACTCTGGGCGGGGCATTCAATTTCCAGATTTGCTTATGCGGAAAACTGCCAACATCCCCAGCTCGCTGGCCAATTAAGTGCTTGTAATAAGAAGACACTGAAAAAATCCCATCTTTGCTCAGCTTCCAGATTCTTTCATCCTTCCCGTTCCCCAGGCTGAAACATTTTTG